GTTCAAACTGACTTTGCAATCCAGCTCATTAACCTACCGCACCATACCAGGACTCTTAGGAGCCACTAATGTAAAAGATTGGGGTTGTTAAGTGCTGTGGACTCTGTTCCAACTCATGTTGTTATTGTTAAGTATCATGGAATCGGTTCTGACTCATAGTGACCCTGAACAGGGTTTCCGAGGCTGTAAATCTTTAGGGGAACAGAAAGACTCATCTTTTTCCTGTGGAAAGGCTGGTAGTTTCGAACAGCTGACCTTAGGTTAACAGCCCGATTAGTAACCACTACACTACCAGAGTTCCAACTCATAGAGACGCTATCTAGGGTTTTCAAGTAGCGGCTGATGGGTTTGAACTACCAGCCTTGCGGTTCATATGGACCCTGTGGTCTATCTACTGCTTATCCTACAGAGCCACACCAGGACTCCCAATGTAAAAGATTAGACTCTATAATAATATTTTAGATTAATGTAAAAATAAGTCAATACATACTTTTGGTAAAAGGATATTAAATACAGACAGTTGTAACAAGAAAAATCTTTCTCCCTTATCTACTGATTCACGTTCCCATTTCTCTGCTTCCCAGAGGTAAGCAGTATAAGTTTCATTTTTATCATATCAAGATTTTCTGATCATATTGATGTTCGAGGGGACTTTTAAAACTTTAGCGAGAGGTTCCATTGTCTTTTTTTTTAAGGTTTTTATTGTGAATTGAGTGAATGTTTACAGGGCATATCAGCTTTACATTCAAGAATTCATATACCTTATTTCATTACATTGATTATAATTGCCTCCATGTACCATCAGTTAGCAGTATTTCTTTCTATCCTAGCTTTTTAAAAAACAAACAAAACCACTCAGGCATTTATAATAATTTACATCTCCAAAGGGCACATGCTGCAAGTCTGCTCCTTGCCACCAGCTCTTAGTCCTTCTCTTCTTAGACCATGAATTGTCACCTGCTCCCCTCTCCATGTCCCCAACTCCGCCTCCATCTCTGGAGCTGCTGCTTCTCTGGATAAGGTCCCACATTCTGCTTGTGCGTTCCTCTCTTGATGGTCTTAGGGTCCTCTGTTTTCGGACTGTGAGATTAACCACTCCCCTTTTTTTGTTACAAAACTTCTACGTTTACAATTATGACAGTCGCGATTAGTCATGATAACAGTTATTCACTATTGAATCTTATGAATCTTATCCCCATCTCTTTTCACCAGACCCATCTAGACAAGATGACAGCTATTCAGTGGGGACTATTTCTCCCCCCACCCCCATACTCTTAAATGAAACTAAACTCCCTCTTGAAACCTTGTAATCCAGTCACTTTGTGCCTTTATTGTCCCCTGATTTTAGCTAGCCAATGTCTAAGTTGCCCATCCCTATCTACCCAGTGTACAGAGCAGATAGCATTGATTTGAAGACTTGGTCCCTCTCTGTTGGTATTTAGAGTAACTACCACTCTGAGTATAGGTCAGGTTCATCATGAAGATGCATC